TTCCAACTCTTTGCTATTGTAAACAAGGCTGCAATAAACATGGGTGTGCATATATCTGCTTGGATGGTAGACATGGTCTCTCTGGGCTATATTCCCAGTAATGGGATTGCTGGGTCAAATGGTATCTCTATTTGCAATTTTTTGAGAAAGCGTCACACCACCTTCCACAATGGTTGCACCATCTTATATTCCCACCAACAGTGAATAAGAGCTCTCTTTTTATGCCCGTTTTTACAGTCATGGTGTCAATCTACCTCACTGAAGGTCTTTTTCTCCTTGTCTCACTCTCCACTATTTCAAGAATGAAGTACGCTTTCAAAGACTAGCACCTCCTGACCACATGCTTAAATCATATGAGACCAAGTCACATTCTTGCCTCTAAGCACTATGGTAGATTTTTCAAATTTCAACTAGGAATGTACAAATGTAGAAAGTAGTAGTATTCTTTTGTTGTTGTTGTTATGTGCCATTGAGTCACCTGTGACTCACAGAAACACTATGTACAACAGCTCTAAATCCGGCTCTATCCTGTGACAATCTTACTGTCTCTGACACACCTACTCCCATTACCCTAGTCACTGAATCAATCTGTCTCATCAAGGATCTTCCTCTCCTGTGCTTTCCCGCCACCCTCCCAAGCATGACGTCTGTCTCTAAGGACTCCTTGCAACATGTCCAAATTATGTCAGACAAAGCTTCAGAATCCTTGCCTTGAAGGAACAACCTCTATTCACCCTCTCCAGAATGAACTTGTTTGTTCTCCTAGTAGTCCATGGTATATTCAATACTCTTCTTCAGCACCAAAGCTCAAAGATATCAATTCTTCTATCATCCCTGGACATTTTCCAGCTTTCTGATGCATAGCAAATAATTGCAAAGACCATGGCCTGTATCAGGCACACCTTAGTCTCCAGACAGAAATCGTTGTTCTTCAGTACTTTGGAGAGGCCTCTGACAGCAGACTTTCCCAATGCAATTCATCTTTTAATTTCTTGGCTGCTGGTACCGAGAGTGTTGATTGTAGTGTGGGATTGTAGTGTGATACTAGGGATATTATAGCT